CAGCCTGTATGTTTTAATTTCTTACTGTCTCATAAAATGTATGTTGCTGACACTGAGTTAGAATGCTCAGTTATAGAACTGAATATTCATTTGTTTGTTTGTTTACTACCTAGAATGAAATATGCTTTCAACAAGCCTCAAGTGATTGTGTCTCTCTTTACCACATCTCTGTTCATTAAAATAAATCAAACCAAGAAGCATAACTACAGCATACCTAGGGATCGATGGCTTATGTTGTGGACTGACTTTACATCATACTCACACTACTGCTTGGTGACTGTGCAATTCTGGTTGGACGTAACAAGTGAAGCAGATTTCAGATAAGGGCCAAGATTTTGGAAGAAGTGAAATTGCGTCTTGGGAGGAAAGTGTAGTAAGAAAATTCTCCTATGCCAGGCAAGGTCATCTGTCCATTCGGGAAGGAGCAGGGGGAGGACGGTTTGAACCTGTGTGGCAGCTGTGCAGGTTGCTTTGTATCTCTCAGCTTTGGCTTTCTACCATAAAATTGGGAGGACAAAAATTAACCTTATAGAACTCTTATGAAAATTAACTAAAATTATACTAATTAATAAATATGAAATGCACGAATAAAATAGAGATATCAAATGCATTTCTTATATACAGAAAAGAAATATTTATTCAAGAAATATTCAAAAATGTTTCTTGGGAGGTGTCTTCTACAGTAAGGGCCCGCAGAGCTTTCTCTTTTCTGCAGCTTTTTTTAATTTAACAATTATTTTGGAAATTAAAGTTGTTTTCTGTCTTGTAGTGTAGATTCCTGGGCTTCTCTACTTGAGAAGAAGATTAAGATTTTCAGAGATGAAACATCTTAGCTGGGTAACTAGTGTAGGAGTCATTTATAACAACCCCAGTGACTGTTCCGTACTATTTAATGTTATTACGATCAGAGTCTAAGAGTTTTCATTTCATTTTTAATTTTTCCCTCTCTTTTTTGTTTGCTTTTATCAATTTTCCTTTTCTTTTAGTTACTGAATCAAGATGTACTTTATTAAAATTTAAAAAATAATTCCATCTCATAAGATAATAAGTAGAAACAGCTTTATTCATTTATTTCCGTCATTTCCTTCATGCTTATGCAGGTATTTAAATATCTTTTGGCACTTTTATTAGAGATAAAGAAAAGAGTTGAATTGATTGTTATCTATAAGCAAAGACAAAATGGGGTACCATTTTTACTTACTGTGTTTTGGATCACCCTCTTTTCCACCCTACCCCCCAATTAAATGATGCAGTTTTGCAGGTGTTAGCCCAAGTCTTTGAATGATGACCTCCTCCTTTCTTGAGACTGAATGCGGTTTTTTTCCTTGTGTCTCTAGCCATACTCTCTCACGCCAATGTTCTCATTCCCTCCTAACATATTCCTTTAATCAGAATCTTTCTGTTCCTTTAGCAACCAGCACAAACATTTCTTTCCTTCTGCCTAAGTTATACCTTTTATTTCTAAATATACAGTTTGACCAAATTAACACTGATTAATAAAATCAAGGAGATAGTATATTTGTGTTAAGAATTTTCTCCATAAGAAACTTGTTCCGTTTTGTACATGCGTATATGGGAGAGGCTGTAGCATTGGCTATTAAAGAAAAAGGATTGCGCTGGGTTTGAATTTCAGTTCTAGCTCTTATTACCCTTATAACCTTGGGCAGGTTACTTAGTTTCTCTGGTAATCACTTTTCTTTAACCACATGGCTTAAATCATGCTTGCCCTGTGCTAGGCGTTTTCTAAATGTTTGCGTATATATTAACTCTTAATCATCACAACCACTCCAAGTTATCCTTATTTTACATATGAAGAAATGAAGCTCACAGTGGTTAAATTTAGACAGGCCAGGAAGTAGGGGGACAGGCATAAGAGTAATTCCTTGGTGTTTCTTTCTTCGGTCTGCTTTCCCACTCCTCGCTCCCCTTCCTTTCCTCTTCTGGCCTTTTTCTCCCCTTTCTACCATTTTCCACCTCCTCCTCTCTCTTCCTTCCCTCCCTTTTGCTGCTTCTCCTTCCTCCCTTTTTTCCTACCTTCTTTCCCATTTCCCCCCACCCCGACCCTCTTCCCTTTCCCCTTTTCCCTCCTACCGCCCTCTTCTCCTTCCTTCATCTCCTCTCTCCTTCCCCACCCTTCTCCTGCCTTACCTCTTCGATTTTTATATTATCGTACACAGCATCTGTGTACTTGGTGCTCTGAGGAACACTAAGATCAGTCAGAGACAGGTCCTGCTCAAAGGACCTTACAATCTAGTAGAAGCTAAAAGACACTTACAGAAATTGCTTCAAATGAAATGGAGAGTTATAGCTTTCGTGCTATGTAAGTTTTAAGAGATTGATTGTTTCTTCTGCGGGAACGAAGAAGTCTCTGTGGAGGGATATCTTTCATTGGTATCGTGTCTTATGGAATACAGGAGTTGTATTTTAACACATCACATTTAGGCATATTTTCTAAATATATCAACTATTTTCTTGATTTTTACATGCGGTGGATTTTAGCTTATTAATTAGTCTCAGCTCTTTTTTAACTCTTATTTTGTCATTAGCGAGTGGCAAGTACAGTAAAAGTGAAATGTACATGTCTAAGGCGTCTACACCATTTATGGAGAGTTCGGAGCACCTTTTGGTACTAATAAGTCAGTGGCTGTAAATTGAGGATGCCAGGAAGAAGCGTACTAGTCCGATCCATGTCAACAGTAGGCGGAAATGTGATCAGTAACGACGCAAATCCATATACCCTTAGTCGCTATGTGCAATCAGTCCCCAAAGAGTTCTGAACATAATCTTCCTGTGTAAACTGTCTTTTACATCATAACGTAGTTCTGTATATCTGTGAAGTGTCATTCCCGATAAGTACCCCTTTAGAACGCCCAGGTACCATGGCAACAGGTGCCTCAGGAAATGTGAGATGGGCTTTTAATTGCAGTGTCCAAAAGTACAATTTAGAAAGTTTCAAAAACTAATATATTATATGATGAAAAGTTATAATAATTTAAGTCATTGCAGCATGTATACTAAGTGTATTTTTGGCACGAGTCTTCATAGAAATAAGCATCCTGGTTCATTGTTATACTAGAGAACATTATATTAAAATTTAATTTTGTTTTCCTGTTTTCGTTTTATATGAAAATATAAGGGAATTTACATGATTGCTTTCCTGCATTATTCACAGTGTAGGATAGAAAGAGATCTGATTTTCTTTAAAATGATACATTGTAAGGGCACAGGCATTCAACTGCCTGGGTGTATCAGTTTTTATTTTATTGACAGAATCGATACCATATTTGGAAACTGCCAATTAGATTCTAGATGTCTGAGGGACCAAAATTTGTAGAGCAATAAAGTCGGTCATTCAGACCACAGGAAGTACTAATATTCTGTGGTCTATAAATGTTGGTAGTAAAGGCATTTTAAAGAAACTTTAAAAATGAGTAAACTTTTGCAACAGGAAAAAAAAGAACTAATGGTCTGTTTTCAGTCCTAATAGTGCAAAGGTATAAGGTATTTACCTAAATAGGTATAAAGCGAAATTGAATAATATATATGGTGGCAAGGACATAATGAAGAGAAAGTTTATGGGGAAAATGTTGAAATCAGACAAGGGATATAAAAACCTAGGCACTTTCCTTCCAATTCTGCCTTATTTTGAAATAAACTATTGTCTTTTGCACATGCTTGCTATTCAGTGAATAGACCTGGAATCAATTGATTAAAATTTTATTTTTATGTTAGTTAATATTGGGTTTTTCTTATTTATTATCAGTAAAGTCTCTTTAGGAGCCAGAGAGTCCCCTGTGTCTTGGCTTTTATGACCTAAAGGTGTCTCGAAGTCTGGGGCTTTATCTCTGTTGACATGTGATACTCAGGGGGATAAGTTCTATCTCCTTTTAACTAGGGACCTAGTCTATTATATAGCAAGTTGGCCCTCTTGAGAAGACATAGGCATTTTATTATTCTTTTGAATCAGAGCAATTAACTAGATAAATGAGTACAGATCGAATTCTCATGGATGTGTAGAGTAATATATTTCTAAGGGATGTGAAAGCAAACATTCCCTTCTCTCTCTCTCTCTCTCTCTCTCTCTCTCTCTCTCTCTCTCTCTCTCTCTCTCTCTCTCTCTCTCTCTCTCTCTCTCTCTCTCTCTCTCTCTCTCTCTCTCTCTGTGTGTGTGTGTGTGTGTGTGTGTGTGTGTGGTTTTAGAGCCTTGGGAGGCTAGGGCTTTTTGTGGGAGCACTGAGAAATCCAGGGAAGTTTTATTTCTCCATAGTTAGGTGTTTTAACTGGGAAGAAATTCTTCCAGATCATGTAGAGGTTATGTGTAAAGATATTAAAAGATGGCTTATGTAGGTAAAGTAAGCTTTCAGAAATAAGTTCTGAAAAAATATAAATGGTAAGATGATAAATGAGATAATCGTGATAGAAACATCCACTTTGGGGAGTTCTCTCCATCTATGTAGTAACCTTTTGTAGTATTTCAGACCTATCTAGAAGACTCCTGTTTCTAGAAATGTTTGGATAGTCAATAGAATATTTGGAAAATGAGTTTGAACCTACTCCTGCTCTATACAGAATGCATAATTGTCACCATTTGTTCTGTTCGAATCTGTGGAAAGTTCTGAACTTCCGTGAGGGTGCAATAATATAAAGGTATAGAAGGTAATATAAAATATTGAGTCTTTGTGTTAGGGTTTTTGAAAGGGGAGTGTTTTAAACCAACAGTCTTCTTAAATATTTTTTTGAGGAGTATAAATTTTTTAAAGGAGTGTAAATATTGACTGATAGTGTGACTAAGTTGATGAGTTTGTTGGGTATGTGGAGTTCCCGTAAGTCATACTATATGGAAACCACGAGTGTAAGATGTGACATCCTATTCATTGTAAGAGACTCTGTTTCTTTCTTCCTTTTGAGTATTTTAGTCCTCCCTCTGGTCTTTATAATCATGGTTTTAAAGGTTAACAAGTAAGTGGTCTTAATAATTGACTTACTTGGGACTCTTTCAGCTTTTTGCCTGAATTCATCAATGGAGACTTCGATTCAATTAGGCCTGAAGTTAGAGAATACTACGCTATTAAGGTAAACCAAAAACACTTTTATACTTAAGACTTTTCTCATATGATTGCTCTTCCTATGTTCTTTCTGGTTTACGTGGTGTATATATAGGGATTCAGAAATTCATTGGTTATTTTAAAAAATATTATAGCAATTATAATACACATTCAAATAGAATTTAGAAAATGACAAGTGGAAACAATCTTAGAAATTCTATCAGCTAAGCATTAATGCTTAGTCCTTTAAGCACATATATTTTAAATGAGCTTATAGTTTATATAGAGTAATTTAATAATATACTATTATTGTCTACATCCTCATTAGATATATATTTTATTTAATAAGTATACTTTATTTTACTTAACCAATTCTCAATTAATTTACATTTAAGTTGTGTTCATTATTTTGCTTTGTAAACAAATAAAAACATCTTTGTAAATCATTTTTATAAAAATGCATAGTCGTAGAACCAGGTTTTTAAAAATAATTTAGTTTTCTGGAAACTTTACCTGTTCCGAATACAACTTGAAATTAACAGTAACGTACAAGTTATTGAGCTGTTACTTCATCACTGCTCAGAGTCCTTGCCTGTTAAAAAGGATGTACAGAGGAGCTAATTGCGAGTGATGGAAGACACAGAGGAGTATTTTAGTGATTAATAATTCAAGATTGCATTGGGTTTAGAGGACAATGAATAGTTTTAAAAATAAAAACCACAGCCTCAGCAGTTCTTGTAGCCACAACACCACCATCTGTGTTACTCTGAACTGGTATTCGCAGATTTCACACATTTTTAAAACAGCAGTTATTGAAATAATAACACTTTAAGTTCTTTATAAGGCTTGGGGATGGATGAGATAAATTCAAAAAGCAGAAAGAGGAAAACTTATAGAAACGAAGCAAAGAAGATGAGAGAGGGGGAGTGAAGGAAGGAAACAAAGGAAGAGAAGAAAAAAAATATTCTAGGTGGGGAAACCAAGATAGCAAGTTTATAAAGTTAGGCTGTTACGATACGGAAATTCTGGGGTCAGCGGTGAATGCAGGTCTCTGCATATTCCATCTGCCCACCAGCTTGATCAGACTTCCCATCAGCAAATGAAGACTGCTCCCAAGCCAGCGTTTGATATTCATGCTCAATTACTCGAACGTTGGCATGTTTCTATTCCTTCCCCACGGTCTCACTTCTCATTAACTGTATACCTCAGCCTTACTGGGACGGAAAGCCCTTGCCCTTGCTCACAATGTAGAGTTTTACAGATTCGTAGACAGTAATCATGTTTTCTGGAGCATGAAAATAGCCGGAGAGACAGGACAAACAGACTCAGACACAAGTTGAAGATCTGGTCAGATGTGACTTTTCTTTTCTCTTAAATGCCGCTAGCTTGGCAAAGCTGGATATGTCAGTCTGATCATTCCTGTATTAGATGAGGAAATATCAGAAAATAAGGAGATGCAAACTTTTAAATTTCTGAGTGCAGTAAAATGGGGTCAGGGAGAAAGGAAAATTTGGGGTTAATACCTTTTGATGAACTTCTCTTAAATTTTTTGCTTAAATTTTTTAACCTCAAAAGCTCATTTATACTTGTTAAGGTTTAGTTTTTAAGGGAAGATTAGCTGCGTCTTCTAATTCCTACATTGCATAGTTGTAAGTCGATATAGTACAATCCAGTTTTTTCATCTATCTGTGAGAACTAACTGCTTTTGAACTTTTTAGATCTGTTCCTGGTGGCATTGATGATGTCTTTGATAAAGCTAATGTGCCCTGTATAGGTCATGGTGAATGTTTAGCTACAGTTTTAATAGTGATGATAATGACAACAAGTTAATGCAGCATTACACACAATTCGTTTAGGCCATTATCTTCCATTTAAGCAGTCTTTAAGCTGCTCCATTGTAAATGAAAAGAGGTTATCTCCTCTTTCAGACATACTTTTTCCTCCCATCTGGTCTAGGTTTCAGTGAGGCTGAAACTGTAGCTGGAGCAAAGAAAGTGGAATAAATTTAAAATGCTAAAGGTTTGTTAAAAATCATAACGTGGATTTTGTTGCCATTATTTATTTATACAGCTTTTTTTCCCACGAGATACATCTTTGACTTACAGAAAAAAATCCAGGTTTATATGACTATACAGAAATTTAAATTGCTTTTCCTGCAACAGAATGTTTTATACCCCAGGTATTGCCATCTGTGTTACAGCTGACCCTTGAACAAGCAGGAGTTAGGGGCACCGACCTCCCACACAGTCAAATATCCACTTATAACATTTGACTCCCCTGAAACCTAACTACCTACCGATAGCCTACTGTTGACCGGAAGCCTTACCTTACCGATAAAACAGTGGACTAACACACATTGTGCATGTTATATGTATTATAGACTGTATTCTTACAATAAAGTAAGCTAGAGAAAAGAAAATATTATTAAAATAATAAGGAAACTATATTTACAGTACTATACTGTGTTTATTGAAACTGTAAGTTTATGTCTTCTGTTTACAAAATGAATCATCTGTCAGTACCTACATCAATGTTGTCTTATATGATACAAATCACTGTAGATGTTATATGTATCACTAATGCTAGACATCAAAGATGAAAAGATAATGTGAAAAAGAAGTTCATATTTATTGACAGGTGTAACAATTCACTCATTGATAACAAAGAAACAGCAATATAATTGCTTTATGGTCGCCTAGTTGATATAACAAGAGATAGCTAGGAAATTATTCTAGTACTACAGTATATACTATACGTAGTTAATGCTATGCACTTACAATTCGATACTGCATCTTTATGCTTGTTTACATTTTCATGGGGCCATGTACAGTTTGTACATGTTTTGATAAATATACATGTGTTTGTATAAGTTTCGATAAATTTTAACTATAATTTGTGTATATCTTATGATAGTAAATGACAAAATAGGCTAGTTTCTATGTATACTTCATGCTTTCATGACATACCTTACTTTTTCTGATTTTTTTACATATTTCATGGCTACGTAAGTTGAGTTTTTTCAAATTGTTGCAAATTTCCAAAAAATTTTCAATATATTTATTGAAAATCCATATATAAGTGAACCCATGCATTTCAAATTTGTGTTGTTCAAGGTTCAACTTTTGTTGTGTAACAAATTATCCTAAAGATTTCAGTTTTCATCTCCCACATTTTCTCTGGGTAAGGATGTGGGAGTCAGTTAACTAGACGATCTGGCTCGGGGTCTCTCCTGAGATTATGATATGGCCAGTTTTTCAGTCGAGGCCCCACTGAATTCTCTGACAGGATTATTCAGTGTGGCTGTTGTTTGGTATCACTGGCCATTGGTTGGAGGCGTCAGTTCCTTGTCATTAGGCTGCCTCACAGGGAGAAGAGAACGTGCATGCAGGAGAGCCAGCCCCCCAGAAGTAGCTGTCTTTTTTATGACCTAGTTTCAGTAGCGATACACCATCTTGCTGTCTCTTCTGCCAGATGCTGTTATCCATAGAGACCAGCCTTGCTGCAAGGTGGGCTCAGCCATACAGAGGTGTTAGTAACTGGAGGCAGGAGTCACTGGTAGCCACCATGAAGACTGCCTGCCACACCATATGATTGACTGTACTGATAGAGCCTGAGTGCTAGGCAGCGAGAAAGGTGTCTTAATGGTATCACGATGCTTTCTTGATCTTCGATTAGCAATGTGTAAGGAGGAAGAAGAAAACATAGCCATTGGCAAGTCCCCTTTGATTCGATCTTGATCTAATAAAACCTGCTTCAAGGTTAGTTACATACCAACAACCCAATTACTAGTCTGTATGTCCATAGCCCTTAATTATTTTTTCCTTCAGGGTTTGAACACGTAGGGGCAAGCTTTGATCTACCACTTATTTCCATATGGTTCATAGGATAAGAAGCAAGATATACAATTTACACCTTGTGTTAATTAACATGCAGTAGTTTGAAAACTGCATATTTAGGGATGCACTGATCTGCCACTGAATCAATACCAAAGTTGTAATTTGAAATCTCAAGTGAAGTTTAACATGATTTGTAACTATCAATGGATTTTTCTATGCCAGTAGCTGCATTTAACCTATTTCATTATCAAACATATAGATATAATAAACATTGATTATACATGCTCATAGTTTTAACTACCCATAATTCATTTCCCTAATGCATATGACATGCCCTTCTTAATTCACTTATACAAAAGCTTTCTTTTCCAGATAGCTGTAAAATCTTTGTCCTTCTCCTTTTGCCCATTTGTCTTAGTTCCTCCCTGCCTGGCTCACTAATATTAAGTCAGAATGAGGAATGTTTCTTATATTTTCCCCTTGATACATGGTTTTTTTTTTTTTCACTTTCTGAGTCAGTGCTTCTTTGATTCAAGGCTAGAATCATCTCTTTGAGTCTTCTTAATTATTCCATCATCATGCTCACATGTGGTTCAGTTTCCGGAGAGCTTTTGAAGAAACTGTAATATCTCATGTAACTCCTGATATTATATAGTCTGTGGGGTCTTCACTGGATATAGCGAAGGCGGTTTAAAGCATGCTTCCTTAACATTTAGGAGGTTAAAGAACTAGTTGCAGTATTTAACTAATGTCTTAAAAAGTCACAGAATAACAAGTTTTCTTCCATAAATGTAGGCATGTAGGATAGAAGATAAAAGTATAAATATAGTGATAAAATGTAAACTAATTTAAACTGTAACAACAAATTAAATAATGTCTTCAGCCCGATTTTCTGATGAGGAAACTGAGGCTCATAAATCTTAATGACTTGAAGAAAATGAAAGAGCTAGTCAGAGGTAGCTCTTGGAGCAATCTCCATGCCTTCTATAATTTTTTTTTTTTTTTAACTGGGACTGTTACTACTGCTGCCTGTCAGCAGCTTACATCTTACATCTTTGGCCTGTTGGGCAAGACGACTGGCTGTTCCCTGCACAAGGTATTTAGCATTCCTGGGAATGCAAGTCCGTGTCACCATCAATGTGATAATTGTGTAACAACCAAACTCTCTGCCTTCACATTCCCATCACGTTGC